AGTTACAACTTCAGGGCAGTTCACCTTCCCAGCAGCCACTTCCAACACAGGAATTACAATGATTGTCTCTTCACCCTTGCTAGATCCATTGTTATCAGTCACAGTTAACCCCTCTAGGCCTCGCTTATCTAGAGAACCTTCCTCAATCGAGCTAGCCACGATAGCAGACCCATCTCCACTCTCAGCCATATCGTTCTCCTTCTCCACATCATTAGAAGCAATCTGATTCACTTCCTTGACTCTCCATTGCAATTGAACATCCTGCTGACATATGTGACCAAACACACAGCACTTTGAACAGACTTTTGGGAGCTGCAAATATTCCACACCAATCTCGAAAACAGGATCATTATCTGGATACATCCGAATTGTCGAGGGGAATTCACTATCTGTTGAGATCTCAATACAAACCTTAGAGAACCCTAGCTGATCACCAAATCGAGTCTTCTGGTCAGTCCAGAGCGGTCTGCATATAGTGCTCGCAACCCATTCTATCCCATCTTTTCCCAGATATTCAAGGGGATATCCCCAGAGCTTAACCCAAATAGGAAGCGATTCAACTTTAGGAGTAAGAGGCTGTATACCTGCTTCCCACTTTCGAAAGAAAACCGGGTTGCCCATGAAGTGCCACGGCCCCGATTTGAAAACCCAATCACATGCCTGCAACGATGGAAATTGGAACACCAGGAGTTTAGGACCAAATCGCGAAACGCGAACCACGCCATCTCTCCCCCATAGACGGTTTGCCCAGGACTGTAGCTCCGCAACTTTGGGGCACTTGCCGACAAATTGCCGGATTAAAGACAACTTCCATCGTTCAGCGCCCTTCTCCTTGACCGCTTCCGGAATCTGAAACCCATCCTTGACTCGTTCAGGCGGATGATAGACGAGTCGCTTTTCAGGCGCCACGGAGAATAAATGATCCCAGGACGAAGAACCCTCGCCAGCCGGTGCGGCGGCCGACGGCGAGGCTGCCATTGAAATAGGTCTGGTTCAGAGAAAACGGAAAGGAGAGAGAAAGAGGAGGTTCCACTACGCTACTTAGATTTCTTTTATATTAAATAATATGATTTTATAATTTAATTTATTTTTAAAATGATATAAATGAAGAAAAATTATATTTTCTGAAATAAATTATAATATGGTAAGGATAATATTGTATTTTCAAAACAGCTTTTCGCATAAGCTCCAAATCGGAGCTTCTGCTTTTATGTTATACAAAAGCGCTTTTGGCTTTTCAAAAGCCGATCTTTTAGAGGTGTTTGGCTCTGCTTCAGCTTTTGAAGCCAAAAAGCACTTCTAAAAGCTTGGTCAAACATAGGGATAGTAAAACCGACTTAACCCAAACTCATTATGATTCCTATTTATAACTAATTTCCATTTGAAAGTAGTGTAAGACAATGCACATGATATAAGATATTTCATTGGATTCATGTACGAGCATTTTTACTATGTTTTACAACATTGGTGTTTTAAATTATAATTTAAAGTGTACAATAATATTAAATATACAAATTGAAGTTGTACGACCATAAAGGTATAACTATAGTTTGTATCATAAAGAAAGTTATATAAAAGAGTATAGATACTGTTGAAGCCTCCTCAATCTTCCTTCTTTCCTTCCGTTCCGTACGTCTTGCCTACGGGGAATCACCTACACACACAGAGGTGGGCCTCGTGGCCCGTTAATCCTCCAACGATCAAGTTAGCTTCTTCTTTAGAGAGAGAAATATTTTCCCAAAAAGTTTAGTGAGAGAAGCCAAATTGAATGAATGCTTACCAACCATTCTATTTACAACTGTTCCTTACCGTACGGACTTCCACGTCATCACTACCTATAATGGCCTACTCGTCCTAGGCGCCTGGTTTGGGATTCCTTCCCGAGGTATGTGCTGGGCGCCTAAGGAGCACTGTGCGCCACAACTTCTTCAGGCGTCCCGATTAACATAATTCTTTCGCCACGACCGATCGGGCCCCGGCTTTTATTCAACCAACTTCTCCCATGCCTCTAGGCCTCATGAAGTGGGCCTCGTTTCCTATTGGGCCTTTCCAAGACACCACCCTCGTATTAGGCTCCTTCATAGACTACCGACGACTACTTATCCGAACACCCCCAACAATTGACCCCCAGTTAGGTGCTCAAGCTCCTTACCTTGAGCGCCTAACTAAACGTTGTTTCTTCCCAATCGTCATAGACTTGCTTGCCCTACCTCAATCACCTCCGTCGTGGCGCCTACATTTTGCCCCCCATACCCTTACAACGGAGCCGATAAGTTTCCTGCTGAGACATCCCCTTCTCGAGGCGCCTTTCCTTCCACCCTTGGTCATCTTTTACCATATATTTCCTAGGCGCCTTTTTATTCGCGGCGCCCTCTTTTCTCCGGTCCCTTTTCGATCCTCTTAAGCAAAGGCACCTTGCATACCTCTTCCTTAATGGTTTAGGCTTGACGCCCTTCTCCTTATAAATTCTATCTTGAAGAGGCGCCTTTCCACCTCCTTCCAAAGCCATATTTCGGCCGCCCCCTTCCTCTAGGCGTTTTCTCAAATTCCGCTTTCAGAGGCGCTTCGCTTTCCCCTTTATTGCATCTACTCCGTTTTTTCAACTCTTAAAGGCGCCTCTTCTCTTATCAAATAACTGTAGGCGCCTTGCTTTCCTCCCCTGTGCTTCGTCTCCCCTACTTTCCCGCGCCCTCTTCGTTTTTCAAACCCTTAGAGGCGCCCCTTCTCCTATATAATTATTGGAAGCGCCTCGCACTCTTCCCCTGCTGCTCCCCTCACAACCGCGATTTTGAAAGTCAAATTGCGGATTGTGATTGAGCCACGTGGCCAGTGGCGCGATTGTCGAGGCGCGGTCGCCTTCTTCTTTAAATGTAAGCTATTGCTCTCCACTGTTTCTCATTCGCCCTAAATCTCCTTCTCACTCTAGTTTCTCTCTCTGCCGCGTCTCTCTTCCTCCATCAGCGTGTTGCTCGTCCGCTTCAAAATGATGAACCCTACCGATGATGCTGCTGCCGCGGGCTCTTCCCAGGGCCAAGGCGCCCCTTCCAAAACTGGTAAGCACTATCTTCATTTTTTTTGGGGCGCCGCTTACATCACCAACGGTTGTGTGCGCCTGATTGACTTGGTTTAGCGGGGGCGCCTACACTATCTCCCATACCAACGCCATCATCGAACTACTATGTGCCGGAAGATGGTTCATACAAAATGACAACATGGGAGAACACCTAGCCGCCTGAATATGCGCCTTGGGAGACGACATGCTTGCCTGCGAACGTGGCAGGGCCCGAACATAACTCAACCATGTCGGCCGCGTGGATGACTAGTCTGGTCGCGAATCTCAGGCTCCCCCGCACTTGGACGTATGCGCCTCCCTCGCCTATTGCTCGAGTGAGATTGTGCGGTCCCCGTTGGTTGGGTATCTACCAGGAGTACTTCCGGTTTAGGCTCCGATTTCCCTTCGATTCCATTATGGATGGAATTTTGGATTACTGTGGGTGCACCATCGGACGCCTATCTCCCTCCGTGATATTGATTGTTGTGCTCATTAAATTGAAATGTCGGATTCATAACGTACGCCCGACTTTCAACCTTTTTCGCCATTTTTTCACGGTGACGCCCCGAGACAACTGTCTGTCATTGCAACGCCGCAAGAGGGTGGGCGCCCATTTCGTTACATGGTGCCCCAAGTTGGGGAGGACTTGGTTCACGGGCTTCTTTTTTATGAAGGCACATAGGGACTATTTTTTCAAAAGTGGAGGCGCCTTTAGAACAGATTGGTAGCTTGGTACCGAGAAACGATTTCACGCTGCCGTCATACTTAGCCAAGAAGAACGAGACGGCGCCGCTCTTATTAGCTCCTCACCTATAGATCTGCGCCCTACCAGTGCCCGAGCGCCTATATTAGATGAATATTATGGAGATGGTGTGTTGAATGTCTTTCTTGCTTGTTGATGCTTTTACAGGCGCCTTGGCTTATGACTTGATTTGTTTGCAGGTACCAACTTTGCCCGCATTGCCACCTTGATGAAGAGTCGTTATGACAAGATGACTCAATAGGCGCCTCGTCAGGGCGCATCCATCCGGGCCCATGGGTTGCCTGCATCTGTCTCCACCCCACAACCAAGTGCGGCCCCGGTGGCGCCGGGGAAAGGTAAGGCTCCTGTGGAGAAGCCCGCCAAGACCTCCAGTGTGGCGTCTACACCATCAGGCATCAATGTTGTAGAGGACCCCCCGCTGATTGATGAGTTTGGCGATTTCGGGGAAGAAGAAGATGACATTCCCCTGGTCACCCGCGGGAAGAAGGCCGGCGCCCGGTTATCCAACCCGGGAAAGAAACCGAGACCAAGTAATGAAGAAGAGCTGGAGATTACGGCGCAAGTAGAGGAAGGCGCCCGAGGGCAGGGCGCTACTCAACCCAACCGCTATACTATATCGGAAGGGCGCCTACTTGGTCCTGACGGGAAGCCTCCCATTCTCCGACCGACGCGCACCGAAATGGGGCGTGTTGCTCTGTCTTGCTCACCTCGGGCGGCGGTGGACCGTGGGTGCGCCATGGTTCTGGCACTCGCGGCATCGCAACATCTGCAGGCGCCCTCTGAGATTACGGAGGATCATCCATGTGCCGAAGTTGCCCAAATGGGCGCCAAGGTAAGCCTTCCTGCGCCTATACTTTCCTTTTACAGTATGTTTAATTCACTTATAGAGGCGCCTAGAATGTTCCTACCAAAGTATGCCCATCTTCATGCATCCGTTTGTTCTTGCAGCTGCTCCTTCTTGCTGAGGCAGGCGCCTGGAAGACAGACGCCGCCATGGAGGAGAGCCGCGAAGCTATGACGTCGCTGTCGACCCTGAAGGACAACCTTGACACTGTTACCACGTGCCGGGAGCAGCTCGTCAAGGAGTGCGAGGAGGCGCAACTAGAGGCGGCCAAGAAAATCTCCACCCTCCAAAGCACCCTGGAGGAGGAGCGCCGCCAATGAGACGCCGAGTTTGCTTCCCGCATGGTGGAGGAGCGCCTGGAGTTCGAGCGGAAGCTTGCCGCCTTGGAGGCGAAAAAGGAGGCGCTGACACAAGACCTGGGCGCCCGGGACAAGGAGCTGGTGGCCCTGAGGGAGGAGAAGACCTCCCTTCAGGACGAATTGAAGGCGGCCGCCTACCGCCGAAAAGACTACAAAAAGGTGGTGAGGGGCGCCCACAAGGAAATTAGGGCACTGAAGGCGTCTCTCAAGAACTTTGCCCATTCAGACAAGGGGCAGGAGCTAGTTGCCAAGGCGTCTCTAGATTGCTTGGTACTTGCCAAGAGGAAGCTCGACCAAGAATATCCCAACATCACCGTGGACTTCCCCGACATGGTGAATTTTGTAATCCAAGAGATGCAAAATGACCAAGAGGAGGAGGCTGGAGAAGATGAGGAGGCGCCTGCGGGGAGTGGAGATGCGCCTTCCCCCCAAGGAAGTGGGTCCTCTTCGATGGATGACGCGTCCTCGAAGGCAGAGTAGTGCCGGGCGCCTTGTAGCATGGATTCTTTTTTCATTTTTGTATGCATAGATAATGAATTGATGCTGAGTAATAGTAACTCTAGAGACCCGTTGATTCGATATTTATTACTTGAGCCACTATACTGCAGTCCCTTTCATTGGTTACACTTGGCCTTTGTTAGGAGTTGTGTCATAGCGAGTCAAGTTTTTGGCGCCGTTGCCAGGGACTTTCTAGAGTATTAGGAAAGGCAGAAGTTTGTTACTTTAGCATTTTTCTTTCCTTTTCTTTTCCACCCTTGATTTTCACTTGGGTGTTTTTGTTTTTGTTGGTGCAGATCTGAACCATGGATCCTCATGGCTTCTCCAATCATTAGGGATATCCACCACCATCCAAGTGGTATTACCCCGAGACTTCCTGGAGCAATCAAGGAGGAGACGACTATGGATTCGGGTTCCAGTACCAACCCCCTTACTACGATGAACAATCTGACCCCTGGGCATATCAAGAACAACCTCCTTATCAAGAAGACTTTCTCCCACAATCAGAAGGGCCATCGGAGTTGGAGTTACCCATGGCGGCCTTCACGGACCATTCTGCAGAGCCATGCTACACTCCACAGCCAGATCCAAACTATGAATTGAGGCTTCTCATGGAGCAGTTTGCTCGGGACTCCGAGAACCTCCTTTTCTCATCCTTTGCTCCTCCTAACTCTTCATCCCTCCGTGAATCGGAGGAGAATGTTTCACACTCATCAAAGCAACCAGAGCGGGTTGAGCAAGTTTGTGCACAACTTAATCAAGATCACCCGTTTGCTACCATACTAGAAGAGGAGGAAAAAGAAGACTACAAGGACATTGTGGAGCAAACAAAGATTATCACGGAGAGCTCCCGTGAATATCATGATCAAGAATGTCCTGTCGTAGCCGACCACCCCTTCCCACATCCCACACCGAGCTTTGAAGAGGGGGGCATGAGTGAGGAGATGCAAGAAGATCTCATGAAAGAAATTGCTTGGAAACTTGCTCTCCAATCCGTGCTAGAAGAAGAGAGAGAAAGGGTGCAGAAAGAAGTTGTGGAGGATGACAAAAGTGAAGCAGAAGGAGTTCTTGATCATTTCCCAGGGGTGATACCACATGAAGAAGGAAGGGAGGTTGAAGAAGCAATTGGCGTCCAGGCTAAGGACGGATTTGAGGTGGAAGAGGCCTGCACCGGCCATGAGTTACATGTGATATCTCCACCAAACTTCGAGGAACTACTTAGCAAGGACCCATTTGCAGTGTCTCTTTGCCAGACCAAGGCCACTTCGACATCAGTCCCTCTTGGTGGACGCGATAGTGGTCAATCGATGCTGTCATATCTAGTTTGGGGCAATGAGACGAGAGAAGAGAAGAAGAGGTCTCGAGGGTGGAGACTTACTCCGCATCAAGTGCACGAGCTTCCATCACCTGTCATACCACATGCTCATGACTTGAGACTCCACCTCATTGACGAGAACCTCAACTTCAAGGAGGTTTTGGGGTGGACCGAAACTTAGGAGCCATCGTCCGGCTCACGACGTGAAAGAAGCGCTTGTAGGGAGGCAACCCAACCAGTCGGTTTGCATTTCTTTCCCTATTTCTCTTCGGTTGAGTCAGTTTTGTTCTTTGATTTTAGAGTCAATTTCTCTTCGGTTGAGTCAGTTTTGTTCTTTGATTTTAGAGTCAATAACTCAACCTTTGTGAGATTTTGTGTGGTGTTTGTGTTTCGACTACTCTCTCCTCCTGGAATGCACCGCCTGCCTCGTCCACTGTCATTCACCCTTGATCTGGTAACTTCGTTCTACCCCCTTATCTTTCCTCCATTCAGGACAATGTCGTGCTTAAGTGTTGGGGGATAATCGATTATGTGTGCGGGTGAATGTTTGGCTGTTTGTGTGCTTGAAGCCTAGTCCACTGTCCAAATTTTTAAATTTGAGGGCTCCAAGTACGTGTTTCCTTGCAAATTGCCTGCTCAGTATGCTTTGAATTGATAGTCTCTATAGTAATGTGCAACCTAGGGAGGTAGTGTAGCACTATAGAGGATGTTGAAGTATAAGATTTTTCATATCTAGCTCTCTGCTGTGCCAGTTGATTTTGTGAATTAGTGGAGCTAGGACCGTTGAATTCATGTGGTATTGGTGACTCTATGTGGATTGTGTTATGGACTTGTGTATCGAACAGGGTGCTCATGTGGAAAATGAAAAATGCAGTTGGTCCTCCATGTAGAAATCATTAAATCTTAAACATGGGGTAAGCCCAACGTGTGTGGCACCGTTCATTGCACAAAATCGGGTTTTGGAGGTGATTTTAGTGATCCTTAGTGGGGTACTCCTACAAGGTGAAGCTAAGCTGTCTCTAGTACAAGTAAAACTTCCACCCGTTGAACGGTTTGCCTACTTGAGGATGTGTTTTTAAGGGCACGGATAGAGCTTCCGACCCCCCTTAATTTCATTGACCCTCCACACAAGTTGAGGAAAAGGAGTTAAAAGAAGTGCTCTGGCAAGGGCCAGATGTACAGAAATTACTCTTGCTCGACTAATAAGGGTCGACCGTGCAAAAGACTGCAGTTGGAACCCCCACTAAGTGAATGAAAAAAAAGATCTAAAGTGAAAGTGAAAAAGGGGTTCCAACGGTGAAATGAAGTGAAAGAGCACCCCGGTTCAACGAGTCCTTGGTTGTGAATTGTATGAGTCCCTTTATCCATGAACTGACTGTCTTACTTCCACTGCTTCTCATGATCCTGGCTTGAGTCTAGTACTCACATTGAGAGAGATAGGGAACGTCTTAGAAGACCAGTTGACCTCGTAAGCTTCTATATGATCTAGAAAATCCTCTACCGACGATTAGGGTTGTTTGTTGCTATAGAGTTCTGGAGTGCTGCATTGGTTTGAGTCAGGTTTGCTTGGGGACAAGCAAACGGTTAAGTGTGGGGGGATTTGATGACTCGATATTTGCACATGTTTTCCCCTTAGTTTCTTGATCGTTTAAGATTGCATTATTTCTTCTTTGGCCTATTTTACGCTAGGTTGTGTTCCTTTGTCACATTTCAGGTCCTAGCACATAAAGTGAAGCGTAGGCGCAAGTTTCAAGTCAATCGGAGATCAATTGGCGACTCGAGGAAAGAAACTCGGGCATGACTTGAAAAATAATTGATTTCTACCTCAGTTTGTGACCATATAATCATGTAATCTTGTCATTAGAAGAAATAGTACGAGACTACGAGCGTCTGGAATCAAACGGCACCTGATTTGGAGTCCGAACGAGGGAGAAACGAAGAATCAAAGATAAGGGACCCGGAACTGCAAAATACCCGGCCATGGGCAAAAATACCCGACCGGGTATTATTTGGAGCAGACCGGGGAAAATTGGTTTCGGGCTTCTCTGAGAAACAGAAGGGGGCCCTATTGTGACGCAAAAATCCCCGCTTGACAGGGGCTTTTCCCCTGTCTCCAGACGTTGCGTTTTGAAAATCCCCGGCCTTGACCTAAAATACCCGACAAGGGATTCTGACCGGGGATCGCGAACGCAGGCTGTTAAAAGCCTGTTTTGTGCGTTTTTGCAAGGGGAGTGCTGGGTTTTGAATCCCAAACACCCAAGGGACGAACCAAAGAGAGAGAGGGCGATTTGAGGGTATTCTTGGAGTGGAATTGGAGGATTTCTTCGCCTTGGAAGCTCGAGGAACAAGCCCGAACTTGAAGACTGATCATCTGAAGATTCTTACTGCAGTCTCTCTCTTCTCTATGGAGTAACTTCCCTACACTTAGGTTTTGAGGAACCCTAGCCATGTTTGTTTGATTGGATGATTGTATGAGTACTCTTACATGATAATCTTGAGTTCATATTCAATCTATGCATGTTTTCATGATTCAATTCTGCTTTAGTCGAGATTATTGATTTTGCTCTGATCCTATGAGAGCGAATACCTGATTAGGTCAATAGAGCACCATAGATTGATAGTAGTGGATCGATTGCTTTAGTCGAGGGTTGATTCACTACTTTGTATCGATTGAGAACCTCTTTCGATAGAGGGAGTCTAGTTCAAAACGCTTTGATCAGTTGTTCTAGAGAAGGATACGTCCATCTAGGAAATTGACTCAAGAGGGCCTTGTTCCTTTAGTCGAGACTCAAGGTCTAGTCAAGGATTCTCCGCATTGTGAATGAAAGTGAAACAAGTTAGAAATCATCAATTGTTAATCTGGCTAGTGGCTAGGGGGAATCATACCTAGTGAGTTCCCAACCTGTAATTTGTTTAACTTTAACTGTAGTTTGTTAGAGTAGTTTTAGTTCTTCCATCTTAATCTGGTTTGCTAGATAATGAATTGAAGCTGAGTAATAGTAACTCTAGAGACCCGTGGATTCGATATTTATTACTTGAGCCACTATACTGCAGTCCCTTTCATTGGTTACACTTGGCCTTTGTTAGGAGTTGTGTCATAGCGAGTCAGCCAGTCATCTGAACCCAAGTTCAAGACCTCCGGACAAGCTAGTGGTGACAACCATCCCGTGAACTCTAGCGTTTAGAAGTTACCGCCATGGTATTGAGACGATAGGGTCGAGTGTCTATGATTGTGCACATCTTTTGCACCAAAAAGGTCCCAACCCCACTGGTCTTGCGAGTGAGTGATTCATTCTTGTTTTGCATGCCATATCATACCCCGGTGAGGACCTTTGTTTCCTTTCCATTTGTTCCTCGGAATTGAATTCCATGCATGGTTGGTTGTAGTTGATAAGTGGTCTTGTTGAGACTTGCATTGATCCATGAACAAGGTGAGAACTTTTTGTTTGCCCGCTTTTGGTGGCTTCGAATGTCATTTGTGGTGGATGTCGGTATTGCTTGCAACGGTCCATGTGTTAATTACCAATAGCCATTGAGAATTCCCACTTTGTACCCTTTGAGTTGTCCCCAAAGTATTTGTGTAGGTTGAAATATTACCTTGTGTGAAATGTTTTGCGTGGGACAAGCAAACGTCTAAGCGTGCGGGAGTGATTCGGGCCTAATTGTA